CTTGAGAACTGCTTATGTACAAGTCTAGAGGTGAGAAAGAGCAGGGCATTTTTGAGGAAATTATGAGAAGTTGGGATGGTTGGAGACTAGCTTATTTGACTGTAATGGAAGACTAGATTTAAAGTGAAATTGGGACATTGTCTTTCAAATGTAATTTATTTGCCAAACCATTAACATTTGAAGATGCATCCTTGATTATATTACTGTTTGAGGCTGCCTCTAAATAGGGGGAGTTAGCTGGTGCAAATAACCAAGGATTTGGCATCAGACCAAGGGATCTGAGTTCCCTTAGGAAAACCTCTTATTAGCAAAAATAGGGCATTAATATTTATTTCACAAGGATGTTTAAAGACCATATTTTATTCATTGTATTATCTCCAGTGCCTGGTACATACATAGGTATTCTGCAAATGTAAGGTGAATAAATATTTGTTTCCTTTCCTTCCCTTGCTGCTCTAATTGACTTCTAGAGAAAAAGTGAGAGAGAAAATATTTTTAAAGCTGCTGATAACATATTTTCAGTTACACTGAAGAATCCAAGGTCCTTTGATTGCATAAGTGTGATAAATTCCATACATATGCCTTTGGATATTAAATGTTTTGGAAAGCTGATGACCTTGTAACGACACCTTATGTCTAAGATAACTGCTACTAAGAATAAAGCCCCACCTAGATTTTAATAGCAGTGTTTTGATAACTGCAGACTGGGAGGTCTCAGATATTTCATTTCCTATTTATTTTGGACATTTCTTCACTTAGTTTTAGTTTCACAGTTGTGTGGATGGGATATGCCTATGTCCTTGAATGACAGTATCAGTCCACTATGTTGTCCTGTTTTTCCTATATATTTTGACAACAGGAATGTTGTTCAATAAAACACCAATGAAAAAATTGGATTTATGTGTAATGTTTTTAGCTATATATACTTAGAACATTTGAGTTGTACTTTAAAATTATTACATTTAAATAATGCTCACTTTATAATTATATGTAAAATTATAATTTATCATTTAAAGAATGCACTTTCATCCTCAAAATATCTGAACAAAATTAGGAAGGTATATCATAAATTCTCTAAGAATGAATTTGATAGCTGAAAAAGATAAAATCACCATGGAGAAGTCCATAAAAATCGCTGCCTTCTAATAATAGGAAAACCTTTCCCAATGCTTAGAATTGCACCGAAACTACAAAGCAATGAGCTGTTGCTTTAGTCAGGCTATTTCCCACAAATAGTACTGATGAGTGAGCTACCTATGAGGATTCTATTTTCATGGAATTTGTATTGCAAGGGCATTACTACTACAGCTTAGAATTCACTTTTTCAAACAAAATATTTTTAGTCAGTCTGCACGTTTATGTGCCTAGGTTCAATACGAGGTCACACACACACACACACACACACACACACATAATGTCTTTTTTTTTTTATTCACTAAAGTATATAAAGAAGGCCTAAGGACGTGTACTGTAGTGACAACCTCCGAAATACTCCAAATGGAGTTCCTAGGAAGGTAAATATTTGTGTTGAAGTTTATGTCATAATCTAAGTAGCTCAGGAAACCCAGACAATGTGCCTACAGAGTTTGCCCTGATAAATCACATTGTTAATTAATATTTCTCAATTAATAAGATACCAAATAAGATTTTTGGATATAAAGCAACATGAGATTACAATTTCCTTTGAAGAGAAGAGATTTAGTGGAATCACAGGGGAAGAATAAAGGCCAAGTGGATTGAGGAAAAAAATGATATTTGAAGGAGTAGAAACGACAGTTTTGATTATTTTCTCATTAATTTTGCCTTGAAAGGGAAGACAGAGTGGGAGAATAAGTCCGCAACTCAACACCTTTGTATCTCAATTCACTGCTCAATTTGTAAGGAGTAATCAATAAATCCGTATTAATTTACCCCTAATGGAAATTAAATGGACTTTTAAAATCTATTAACAGCAATTACATTTACTCAGCAGACTATGTTCCCAAAAGGTAAATAAAGTAGCCCTGTCCTAAGTAGTCAGCTGGGAGAGTGTAGGGATCAGTGACCCACAGCTCTTAGATAAACTACATTTTACACACATATAGCCCATCAAGGTAATTGAAACTAAAGACAGATCTTTATCAGAAACATTACAATTAAGGACTTAATGGTCTTTCTTAATTTACTGCAAAACTGCTTGACTAGGTGAAATTCTCCCAAAATAGTTTTGGTCTCCTCAAATATCCCCAGAAATTTGTTTTCAAAAAGACGTGGGGTGAGAATTTGATCTACTGACAAACAATTTTTTTTTACCTATAAAAATCTCCATGGAGTAGGATCAAAACCCAAATTTGCAAATAAAATGAGAAGGAAATGTTTAGGAAGCGTGTCTCATTAATTTCATCCCACCCATAAGTTATGTTTTATTACTGCCACCACAACTTACACTTCTTCTGAGTTGCCTGTAAACCTCCAGAAGGTTGTAAGTGCTCAAGAATATTCCTTTCTTTGTTACCTTTCTTTGTTACCAAAATTTTAGAGAAATTTTAGTTTTCATGTTATTAAGCTATTTAAGAGGTATCTGTTTAAAATATTAATTTAATACTGAATTTAATTCGATTTAAAATGTAGATAATTTTAAGTATCTGTCTCTTAAGATCTCTAGATGGTTTGTTTTGAATGACAGATGTATTTCTACCAGAGAAACAATTATCATTGATATAAATTCATTCTTAGTTTGTTTTCCAAGTTGTTGGTGACAGTGGAGAGAGTTAAATTGAGTGTTTCAAATTTTTCAAATGTTGAAGAACCTTTGATTCATTTTATCTTTCATTTTCATTTGACCCATTTACACTCCATCTTGGTAATCTTCTGTTCAGCTACAGTAAGTATAATGTTAATTCTATTTTTAATTTTATGTATTACAATCATGAAAAATATGATACAACTTAAAGTGCTACAGCATCTATCAGGTCAAACTCATGCTCTTAAAATTTGTTTTATAGTGTCAAGTCTTAATGATTTCTTAACTTCACACCTTCATTAAAAACATGTACACACAATCCATTGAGCAAACTAACATTTTTCTTATTTAGAGAAAATGCTCACTATAAGCATGCTTGTATATGTCATGTAGAAATAATTATTTGCTATTAAAGAAGTGGGAAACATGTAAAGTCTGAGCTTATGTATGTACATCAAGGCTCTGAAAAAAATGAACGGTTGTATAATGCGCAGGAGCAGAACCGTCAATTTCTTGGACTATGTTAAAAAGAGCTCCTTTTATTTTTTGTCTTTACAGAGACGTGCTGACTTCTCAACTTTACCAGCTTTCCACCTTTGTCTCTGATATAGTAAGGCACAGAGCTGAGTAGTAAGTCATAGAGGGTCTGGAGAGTTAGCCTGTGGTAGCATCAGGGCACACCTAAGGCACTTGTTCCCAGTTATCTCAATCGTGGGTTGGCTCTGAAACACCAAAGTTAGCATTTGCAAGCTTAACAGGCTCTCCTCCTATGTAAAGATGTTTCAGTGTACTACTGGCATTTTGGCTCGGACAATCTATGCATTTTTAGGATTGCAACAATCCATGTTACTTTTTTCATTTGAAAGCTATTACTAATCTACCACCAGTAGGGAAGTCAGTAGCAACTCTTCTCCACTAATGCTGGCTCTGTGCTTTTTTAGTCACAAATCTTCACACAGTATCCCTTGCAACTAACAGTATATGTTTGTGACCATTTGTTTGAAATAACTAGCTGGGCCTGTGGCCATGGTACCAAGCCAAATTAACTGAACCACACAAAGGTGAAACCCACAATTCTGGCTGCACTGACAGTGTAAGCAACTGAACACACATAGGCATACTGAATGAAGTTAGTTTTCTCTCAGAAAACATATTCCACATAAGGAACAACATGTGAGAAAGGTTTACCTTTTTATAAAAAAATCACTTTTAAAGCTTCAATGCCTAAATTCACATGAATATGATATTAAATAGAACTCCTTGCCTGAACCTTTAGAAGTATAGAATCCAATTGTAATGTTTTTCCTAACCCATTGTAGAAAGTTTCAGGTAATCACCCCACACCAAAATAAATTCAAAGTAGATTGAAAAATTAAGTGTGGAAAGAAAGGTGGCAGACAGGGAGTGAAGGAAGAAAGGAGATAGAAAGGGAGCAAGGAGGAAAGAAGCAATAAAACTAACATAAACAATAACAACTATAATAAAATATCTGATTATATCAATTTGGAAAAGACATCACACCACCAAGAGCAGATGAAAAAAATCACAAGGGAAAAAGAATCTTTGAGAGTATAAAATGCTAATCCTTATTGTAAAAATATAATACTCAAAAAATGAAGTGAAGATATACCAAAGATATGTTAATTCATTTATGAAGAAATCAGTAAGATGTTGTTGATTCCAGGAACATTTGTGGAACAGAATATTCTGGGCATTAAAAAAAGATTCTAAGAATTAGAATCTATGTAAGAAACAAAGTTAGGTAATATCCAAAAAGATAATAAAGATATAAAATAACTATTGAAGTTATATTATCTACAGTACAGAAATCTACAATTTTACACATAATTTCACTGTATTTTAAATCTAATAAAATAGGAAGTGGAAAAATCAGACACAAAGGTACGCTACTCGAGTATTCAAAGATCCTTGGATAATCTTGTTAAGTAGTGCTGTAATTAGATATTGAAAGAAGTATCTTCTCGCTTGTCTTTTTTCCAAGTTTTGTTAAAATTTTCTTACTACCGAATATGAAAATCACCAAAACAACCTGGAAATAATATTTATCTGAAATATGACATGTAAGGAACTATAATTTTAAATAATAAAATGATATATAAAAAATACAAAAATACTGGTAAAACTAAACTAGCAGAAGAAATGAAAATATACAGGAAAAAGTAACATTTAAAAATGGCATTGATAATTACAGACATACAAGTTGCACTAACAGCATAGCAATTCCACTAAGAAAATTATTTAAAAATATGAGTCTTACCTTTAGAAGTGTGCAATCAAACAGGTATTTTGTTGTTAGTAGGAATATAAATTGCTAAAAGTTTTCTGGAAAATAATTTGGCAAAATACATCAGAGATTTTATAAAGCCTTTCTCACCAAACCAATAATATCTTTATCTGGATATTTCCCCTAAAAAAAAGTAGTAGAGGTATGTTCAAACATTTATGAATGAGCGTATGCATCACAAGTTGTGTATTATATGAAAGCATTTTAAACAGTCTAAATATTCCATGATTAGCAAATTATCATTTAGTGACAGTTAACCTACCAGATGAACTATCATGCTAAAATTGGGTTTTGGAGACTATTGATGTGAAAATGTGCCTACATTATAATCAGCAGTTTTGAATCAGAATCACTCATAACCTCATTAAATAAGAGGAAATGCTGACTTAAATGAATTTGGAAAAGTATGGTGTCCCGTCCAGCGGGACTTAGTTATTTGTGGGGACGAGGGGGATCCGACCTGAAAGAAAATGGGGGCGAGAGAAGAGCGAAGGCAAGACAGTATTCTGATCAAGCCTTCAAATTTTATTGTAAGACGGGGGTAGATATACACCAGTGTTCAGGGGCAGAGTGGGCCATAGGATACTTGTAGGCAGGGGATTGGCTGCATAGCAGGGGTGGCGCAGCGAGTTACATTCTGATTGGTATATGACAATGGGGAAGGAGGGGGAGAAGAGTATCTCTTGGCGCGCGCGGGCTTCCTTGTTGGCGCGCGCGGGCTCGTAGCTAATCTCCAAGAAGTGAAGCAGGAACCTCATGAACTGTGGCCATCTTGTTGTCTTTGTGTGGCTCCCAACATCTCCTCTCTTTCTATTTATTTTAGAAAGGTGGGCCTTAATCGAGTGAGGGAATAGAGGCCTGGCTCCTCCAGCAGGGTAACATCCTGCAAATGCTCTCGGTATCTTTTAGGGAGGAGAGGCAGAGCTGAAAGCCAAATTGACTTTAATATATCAAGGCTTTATGTACATATGGATACCAACCTCTATGCAAGCCAGGCGTATTCTCAGGGAGGACCAGAGAGGTTCTAGGAAGAACCCTCCCTTGCGGTACTTTGTCTCGCACTCATCTCGATGCCCATACCCTCATAGTTAGGGGTATGTCTGGCTCTGGCTGACCAGCATATGGGCCACATTAAGTACGGTGCCAGAATCGATGGTACCATGGTTGAGACGCCTGTAAAGTTGAAAACCGGAGACCGGGAGCATTGGTTGGCTCGGTGTAAGACTCTTCATCACAGGCTGTAAGTCTGTGATAATGAACAGCAACCGCTGGCTTGACGAGCTGGTCAACTTGCTCTCGAATAAAAACTGTCAGTTTTCTTAAGGCCCAAGGGCCAAGAGACACTAAAAGGAAGAATCCTGCCAAGGGTCCAAGGATGGTGGGGATCAGAGTAGTTAACCAAGGGGTGGCAGAGGTCCAGTTTTTATACCAGGCCTCATCCTTTTCTCTTTGTTTTTGCCTGGCTTCTAGGTTTTTCTTAACTTTATCAATGCTATCTTGCACTAACCCTGTTTTGTCTTTATAGAAGCAACATTCTTCTTTAAGAGCAGCGCAGAGACCTCCTTCTTTCAGGAAAAGGAGGTCTAACCCTCGGCGATTTTGGAGCACTACCTCAGAGAGAGAGACAACAGATTCTTTCAGGCTGTCTAAACCCTCTTGCAGATTTTGTATGTCTTTATCAATAGCTTGACTAAGAGCATAATATTGTTGTTTAGAAGTAATTATGGAGGCAATGCCTGTTCCAGCCCCAGCTGCTCCTAATCCTAATAATACAGATAAGGTAATGGCGGTTACTGGCTCACGCTTAGTGCGAGTAGAGCCCGAGTAATATGGAAGGAGGTCTTCGGTGGGATGTATGAAAATCTTGGGCATGAGCATGACTAAAACACAATATTCATTGTTAGATATTAATAAGCGCGGGTTAACGGAGGGCGTTATGCCAAAGGAGCAAGCAAAATAAGTACCGTTGGGCGCGACAAGGAATTCATAGGACAGCGGGGGTGAGAAGGAGCTGTTACAAATGGGTACTAGCTGAGGGGGTAGACGCAAGAGGGGGCTATGTATACAGAGGCCTATTCCCGAAAGCTGCGTCAATGTGAGACCCGGAGAGGTCTCTGAAAAACGGGAGGGGTCTGACCAGCGAGTCTTGCTGGAGTCATTGGTAAGTATGAGGTCTGCTGAGGTGTTTACTAAAACTGCTATCCCTTCGTAAAACGGGGGAACGGGGGAGAAACATAACCAGCACTCGCTATATCCAGTGGAGTTAAGGGATTTTGCAGTCATATTAGCCAGGCCTTTAAGGATTTCGCCTGTGGAGGGTAAAACCGGGGGGAGCAAGGCCTGGAAAACAGTACTAGTAGACAGGGGAGAAGGGTTAGAAGGTCTTGGGTCTCTTGCCTTAGGGGCAATAGGGCCAAGGACAACGTGCTTGTTGGCGTTTGGAATGGATCGAATTAATTTGATTTTAAAAGTGAGCCCAGGGTCCTTTCCTGAAACATAAAGCCTTAGCCCCCATTCATGTCCCCTGAGCCATCCATCAATAGGGGCCCTTTTTCCCTTGTCAGTAAAGGTAATGGAGAGCGGTGTACATCGCCCCCTTGTGGATTGGGTGCTTTGACATTCTGGGGTAACAGTTGAGTTAGGCTTGGGATTCCAAGCCCTACTTACAGTTATATAATCCCAGGTGGAGCTAGGCTTCCAACTAGCATCTCCCGTAGTCTCACACCCCCAGGAGTCACAGAAATAGGAGTCTCTATATCCACATTTATAGTTAAGGGCTCGATCTCTATGAGCTCCCGGGCAGACATAAAATTCTGTTTCTCTGAGGTAGGTTCTCCTAGGGGTGTTGTTACACCCAGGAGAGGTGGTAGATTGTCCCTCAGGGTAGGTCTCAGGGGAGGTGGAAAAAGGAAAGTAAATGTCTGGGGTCCCCCAGGCCGCAGAAGCTCCAGCGGCCAAGTCACAGAGATCAGGGGCAAGAACAGGCCATGGGGGGGTACTTGCTAAGGTGGAAGAACTGAAAACGACGTCTCCTGCTTCATTGGTGACTGTCCAGGTGAAATTGGAAATCTGATGGGTCCAAACGGGGCGAAAGGTCATGACGAGGGTCAATAGTGTACATATCTTCATTTTTGCCTCCTGAAAATAAACAGAAAGGGAAGGCTTCTCAGGGGTTAATATGCCCTGGACTGGAATTATTATTGTTTCTGCCTCTATTTGTGTCTAGGAGTTTAATGAGCCTATCTGGGAGCCATCGGGCATTTTGTGCCTTAGCATCATATATACAAGCATGTCCTTTCCCCCATATGAGCACAGGGTCAGGCCCGTGCCATGTGTTGGTCATCGGATCTCTCCACATAGCCTGTGCATAATTATCTGCCGTGGAGGGATGCCAAAGGCGATCAGCAGCGGTTTTACCCGCGGAGTCATAAGTAAGGAAATTGAGAACAAACAGTGCATGATTTAGGAGTGTCTTTGCATTACCTGTTCTCGGATAGAGTACTTCTCCCCCCGACTGAAGTTTGAATAACATGTTTTTAAGGGTTAAGTGGGCTCTTTCAACAATGCCTTGGCCTTGGGGATTATAGGGAATTCCTGTTACGTGCTTAATATCTAACTGCGCACAGAACTGTTTAAAGCTAGAGCTGGCGTATCCAGGCCCATTGTCAGTTTTTAAGATTTTAGGTTGTGGTAGATATGCCAGGCATGAGAGGACATGGGTAATAACATTTTTAGTTGCCTCTCCCGTTTGCAAGGATGCACATAGGAAACCACTACATGTGTCAATAGACACATGGATATATTTTAATTTACCAAAGGGAGGGTAATGAGTGACATCCATTTGCCATATCTCTCCTGGGACTATCCCCCGGGGGTTGATTCCGTTATGAGGCTCTGGGAGGAGAGTTAGACATCCTTGACATTGTCGAACTATTTGGCGGGCCTGTTCTCGGGTGATTGAAAATTTGAGTCTAAGAGTGTGAGCATTGAGATGATGTAGTTCATGAGCCCGTTGGGCTGCAGCCAAGGGTGAGTCTGGCGTGACAGAGGCTACTAATTGAGTCGCCAGATCAACCCTGTCATTGCCTTTGGCAAGCGGCCCTGGAAGGCCAGTGTGAGCGCGTATGTGCCCGATGAAAAAAGGGGCATCGCGGCTTAAAATTAATTTTTGCAATTTTGCGAATAGGGGGGAAGCATTTGTAGAGGGACGTATGTAAGGCACTGTCTCTAATAGGGGAACAGAGGTTGCTACATAGGCACTATCAGTGTAAAGGTTAAAGGGGGCATCTATTAAAAGCTCAAAAACCTTGATTATTGCAGTTAGTTCAACAAGCTGTGCAGAAGAGAGGTCTGTCTGTATTCGAGTAACTTGCCCATTAATACTGAAAGCGGCTATACCGGAGGAGGACCCATCAGAGAACACCATTACGGCCCCAGCAATTGGCGTGGTTTTAGTCCTTTTGGGAAAGACAACCGGGGTCTTTTGAAGGAACTGGACTAATCTGTCTGCAGGGTAATGATTGTCTATTGTCCCCTGGAAGGAGGTGCAGCTAATCGCCCAATCATCATCATGTTGAATAAGCCATTGTAATTGAGATGTATTGTATGGGAGGGTTATAACTTCAGGGTCTCTCCCAAACAACTTGAGAGCTGCCTCTCGGCCTAAACGTAAGAGGGCAGCAACTAATTGAGGATAGGTAGCTAAGACTCTAGGGGGGGAGGCTGGCAAATGAACCCAAAATAGTGGATGGTTTTGCCAAAGGACTCCTGTAGGGGAGAAGGGGGTAGGGAAAATGAGCAGCCACAAACTTAGATGTGGAGAGAAGTAGCTAATGGTCTGTTCAGAAATAGCCCGCTCTACAATGGTTAATGCCCTTTGTGCTTCTGATGAAAGCGAGCGGGGGGAGGAAGGATCAGGGTCTCCACGTAGGACATCAAACAAAGGCTTTAACTCTCCGGTGGTCAGCTTTAAATAAGGCCTGAGCCAGTTGATGTCTCCTAGCAGACGCTGAAAATCATTAAGAGTGTTTAAGGAGCTTCTCTTTAACTGAATTTTTTGAGTGAGGATTTTATTAGAAAATAATTCAAAGCCTAAAAATAGTTGGGGGGGGTGGACCTGGACCTTTTCTGGGGAAATTTGTAGTCCTCGATCTCGGAGGGCAGTGACTAGCTGTTGACTGGCCGCATAGAGCTGTTGCTGGTCAGGACCGGCAAGAAGAATATCGTCCATATAATGGATAATATACAAAGTGGGGAAGAGCAACCTAAAGGGGTCTATAGTCTGGGCTACAAACTTTTGGCAAAGAGTAGGGCTGTTGGCCATTCCTTGTGGGAGAACTCTCCACTGAAACCGGGGAGAAGGCCCTACACAATTGGTAATGGGTATACTAAAGGCAAAACGTTT